AAAGGTCGGATAGGATCTGAGTGCTTTCATGCCGTTTTATAACGACCAACCGAATACAACGTTGTTGAGCTTTCGATGGTTACGAGGAAAACGACTGTCACGTTGACAGCTTGCAATGTACGGTCACGTTCTGTCGGCATCCAAAATAGAATAAACAAATCCCGTATATGTATAGATAAAGCTAATAAAAATGCAATATCGTTTAGGCAAGAAACAACCCAATTTACCAATTCGAGAATTTTGTTTATTTTACAGGCCTTGAGAGAATTTCTTGGAAATGAAGACTTAATCGGAAGACCTAACCGCAAGCCCGACACATATCGATCATGGGGAAAAAGATTAGGTAACTACTTTTAATTTAAATTTAAATAATTCAACAATGATAATCTTTGCTAATTGAAAGAACACTAAATAAATAGGTCCCTTTGCCGTAATTGAAAGCTTGGTAAGCTTTAACTACACTGATGGCAGTGTTTTGGAATAGAACTATCCATTAAGATATTTCACCAAGTGCAGTAGCCCAGCTGGTGGAAGTAGCCGATAGCGGCGGTAAGAAGCTTTGCGTTATAGTTGCTTTTGACGTTAGAGATGCCTTTAACATGGCACAGTGGCAGAAAATCATCGAATCTCTCGAGGAGATATATACCCCTAGGTACCTACCTATTGAACATATACGCGAAGACACTTATGGAGGGCAAAAGACAATAAAGGTTACCATGAGTTGCCGCAGGGTTCCGTCCTAGTGCCGTTGCTTTGGAATGTGTTCTACGAAGGGGCCGTTCAGCCACATATGCTGCCCAAAAGTCGCTTGATAATGTATGCTGACGACATTGCGATGATAGTGACTAGCAAGAAGAGAGATACACTTGAAGGACGCTTATACGCATACACGGGAAGACACTTATGGAGGGCAAAAGACGATAAAGGTAACCATGAGATGCCGCAGGGTTCCGTCCTAGTGCCGTTGCTTTGGAATGTGTTCTACGAAGGGGCTCTCCAGCCACATATGCTGCCCAAAATTCGCTTGATAATGTATGGTGACGACCTTGCGATGATAGTGACTAGCAAGAAGAGATATACACTTGAAGGACGCTTGGTAAACGTAATCACGAGACTTACCATATGGATGGAAGAAAATCGCTTGAAATTAGCTCCTTCATTAGCTCTTAAGGTTGATAATTCCGAGATTCGGATCCAAAATGCAATTAAGTATCTGGATGTGTGGATTGACAAAGATCTGAAAGTGATTGAAAATATAAGGCACACCACGGTCAAGGTAAATGACGTCGGACCATCTCTGATACGACTAATTCCTTCTGACGGAGACCACTGAAGAATTTTGGCAGGGGTAGAAATCTCGGTTATGCTGTACGAGCAGTACAATTCGCGTTTTTGACCACCCTGTATGAGAAAGAATGAAAATTCGAAAAAGTAACAAATAAGATAAAAGTGCAAGTTTTTCTTTATACAAAATTCAGCAATCCAAATTTCAAAATGGCGAATTGAGGGGTTGCCGAAGTGGACGATTTTTCTAGACAAAACACCTTAAATCTCAGTAGCTAAAAACCAACACCCCGTAGTATGCTATATCAATCTTCTTTTTTTGAGTTGGTTTATGCAAATATGCAAGAAAATTTGAGGCATTCCTTCTAAAAAATCACAACTTTCATATGTAGGTCAAAGTTGGGACACCCTGTTAATATTTTAGAAATGTGCCCTCAAATGTCATGTATAACATGCCATAAATATATTTTCCCAAAATTTATTTGTTTATAAGTAATATTCCGTTCACACATGGATGGGCCACCCTGTATACTTACTGTAGCATTGCCAATCATAGAACCAAAAATAGTAAAAGTAGAATTTAGATAACAATTATAATAAAAATAAATAGAAAACACCAAAGAAAACAAAGACGCTAACACGGTAAAAGAAATAAAGGTTAGAACAAAAGAGAGAATTCATAGACAGCTGAAAGAGAAATGGAGTAGGAATAATCTGTATCGGCAGTATCCAAAAGAAGTGCACGACATGGCGTTGGCTTCAATGTGAAGATATCAAAGGTGAAACAGAAGCTTTGATAACGGCTAGAGCAGGCTAGAGCAACAAATCACTATCAAACCAAAATATACTAAGTGACATATAAATCCGAACACCCAGTTTAAATGGTTTTATTTTAATAAAATTTTGTATAAGTACTTAATGACGCATAATAAGTAAATGATAAAAATTTCAAAATGATTGCACTGCTTTAAAGCCCTTTGACCTTTAATAATGTGTGGATGCACCCTGATGTGCTATGCATTCTGGAACGCGCCTAGGCATGCTTCTGATCAGGTGGTCAATGTCCTCCTGTGGTATCTCATTCCAGGCAACCACCAACTCCTCTCGAAGTGCTTCTAGAGTCTGAGGAGGACGTTGCAAATTGAGCAATCTCCTACCCATCATATCCCACACGTACTCAATTGGGGATAAGTCGGGAGATCTTGGTGGCCATGGTAACAATGTGACATCATTATGTTGAAAGAAGTCTATTGTGACTCTTGCAACATGTGGTCGGGCATTATCTTGTTGGAAAGTTGGATCTGCCAGGGTGTCAAGATAGGGTAAAAGATTGGGTTCTAGAACTTCGTGGATATAACGCTGCGCGTTCATGTTACCTCTGATGAAGATTAAAGGTGACCTGGAACCATAAGCTATAGAACCCCAAACCATAACTCCAACGGTGTGACGTCCTTCAACAAAAAACTGTGGATTCCTCCTTTCACCATGTCGCCTTCTAACCCTGGCACGACCATCGTGCATGCCTAAACAAAATCGAGACTCGTCACTAAAGACAATACTGTTCCATTCCTGATCCCAGAGTGACCGTTGTCTGCACCACTCAAGGCGATTACGTCGGTGTTCTCGAGTTAAAGGGAGGACCCAGTGTGGCCGGTATGAAAACAAGCCAAAACTTCTCATTCGTCGGTAAACACTTCGCATGCCAATAGGTCTTCCGTGTTCTGCAAACCATTCATTTGCAATGGACCTGGTAGTGGAGAATCGGTCCCTTAAGGCCAATAATCTTAGGCGGCGATCTTCACGGTCTGTTCTTCTACGGCGGCGTCCAGTGCCCCTTGCTCTTTGCGTACGGGCTTCTCGAAGCCATGCCTGACAATACCTAACCACAATGTCTACACTTCTTTGCACTCTAACTGCAATTGCCCGAAAAGAAAGTCCAGCTTCCCGAAGTCCCACTATACGGCCCCTATCAAACTCACTAAGTTGACGAAATCGTGCAGGTCTCCGTACTCTAGGCATCGTAACCGATCGTAAAGGATGTCAAGAACCAAAATCCGCCAACGTTGATTCTTTACTGCGGCTGAAATATTCATTTTTAGAGCGTTAGGGAATTAAAAAAAAGCAGTATAAAAACCGGAATGTCCAACTGATAAGGCTGAAAATTTTTTCACTTGTTATTTACAGTAAGATAAATACATTCACCAACTTTTATTAAAATAAAACCATTTAAACTGGGTGTTCGGATTTATATGTCACTTAGTATACTTCACACAACGGACGAACCAAAATGTAGATCATGTAAAACCGAAAATGAAACGATACAGCATATACAGAATGTTTCACAAGTCGTGGACAAAAATGAAACATCATATACAGGACCGCATTCTAAGTTTAAAAATAAAATAACATTTTTTCAATATATTCAAAACCGTCAACCGGTATGAACTGAACTTTGGCATGTGGATTTATCTAAGTATTATCCACATTTAAAAGTTTTGACTCAAAATTGAAGTGCACCAGTGGCGGAGATACAGGGGATTAGTGGCATTATTTTTCCAAATAAAAAATCGTACATTTTTCGCAGCGCGCAATTTTTCAGATTTTACCTTCAATTTGCTGCAAACAATCTCCTCCTAGAGTGCATTGTTTTCGTAAAAATAAAAATTAGATCATCCACGAACAGCCGAGATGCAATTACTTTCAAAATAAAATGGGAGGCCTTGATACTAATTTGGCGTTTTTTGGGAGATAGCTTGCCAAAGCTGTATGGGTTTTGTCGTTACTACCACCATTTTTTTTTGTAAAAGTCAAGTGAAATGTTTCTTTTTTCCATTTTTGAGTGTGTTGTGAAATGGAATTTAGCGTTGACGAGAAATAGTAGTAGTAGATTTTTGGTCACGACCTGTGGATCACTCTGTATAATGTCAGGCCGTTCTATATTGGCAAATAAATAATATCTGTAATAACGGTGTTGTTGATCACCTACATTATAAAATATGTAAGTGTTTTGGAATCACACTATCTGACAAGTGGTACCTCCACAATCTAGATCCAGGAATAGAAACATCAAACGTAACAATCCTTTATGACGATGCAAACTGACAGGCACATTCCCGCAAACAAGCCAGATATCATCATACAGATTAATAGAACCTGCATTATTGTGGAAATTTCTGTACCATCTGACTGTAATGTAATTCTAAAAGAGGCCGCAAAGCTCGATAAATACCTGGAGATTGGAATACGGCGAATGTAATAATAATAAAAAGTAGGTGTAACTCATACCATAACAAAAGTATATCGAAAAAGATAAAATAAGTTCCTGTGTAGAACAACCTGAAAAGCTTACAAAAAATGTTATATCCTAAAACAGCTCACATTGTAGGAAGGACAGTAACTTAAAAACAAAACTTACCTGCCCTAGGAGTATGGTTTACTCTCGGCGGGAAAATCTCTTCCCGAGGAAGAGAACCTACCAAATCCCGATTCGGTTTCGCCTCTTGAAACGACTTGACTCATCCCCTTTCTTTGAAGGCGTAGGAAGTATAGAGTCAATCTAGTTGACGCCATTTTTTTTTTCAGGAATCGTAATGACAGATGGAGACTTCTGGTCCGAACAGCGTCGCTTCCTAGTGCGCCACCTCCGGGAGTTCGGCTTCGGCACCAACAATATGTCCACGTTGCTGGAAGAAGAATCCCAGGAGCTGGTCAAATACCTTCTGAATGAGACCAATGGCGGAGAAGGTGTTGTCAGCGTGCCCTCGTTGTTCAGCACGCCGATATTAAACACCCTGTGGAGAATGCTTGTGGGTGTAAGATATGATTCTGGTGATCCACAACTGGCGAAGTTACATGGCATTCTGGCGGATATGTTCAAACACATGTCGATGGTCGGAAAGCTGTTTGTATCTTTTCCGATTTTGCGGTACTTGGCACCAGAAGCATCAGGTAACTGACTATCTGTAATACGCATCGGTCTATTCCAGTTCCCGTTTTCTCAGGCATAGGATACCATCGTACACAATTTTATTTCACACTCTACTCGTGCTTAAATGATTTAAATAGCAAGACCATACTCCAAAATTTAATAAAAAAACATTTTTTGTTTGAAAACGCAATGGAGTACAATATTTTTTCTGAGAAATCTCCAGTGTACGGATGCCACTGGTGGAAATATTAGAAAATGTTTTAGATCAAAAAATGCCTGTTAGTTCTTCGTGGGTGCATGTCAAATTTCATGAAATATCAAGAACAGTATTAATGTGATTTTTCTTCTCTATGACACGATTCCGAACATAACCTTTTTTTTCTTTGAAACAATCTGAATACGGGGTTTTGAAAAACCACACGTCGTAATAGCGTATAAACGACATAACTATCAAAATCAAACACCAAATGCTACTAATGAACGCACCCCGACACGTCTCTCTCTCTCTCTCTCTCTGCTAGGTAACAACTGCAATTTAAAAAGAGAGACAGATCCCTGTCAGAAATGTTTTCCTATCCTGATACGGCCTACTTACCAATCTGAAAAATTATTTAATGTCAAATTGCTTGTCCAAAAATAAAAACCAGGACCTAGTTTCACCTTGATCCAGAATTTGGCTTCTAACTAATTATCAGGTCTGAAATAAGGAAAAATCCGTTCAGGTCAAATGATTGAACGAATATACACTTATTGTTTACATATTAAGTTACTTTTCCCAAAACTAAAAGACAAACATATTATGTTACATTATATACGTAGTTAACAACTTCGCACCATAACACAAAGCGTTTTTATAATTTGAGGTTATGTTGTTATCAGAGTGTCTCATTAAAAATGTTAACAAACTTACTACTTTAGCTTATTTTTAAGGCCCAAATTGGGTAGCTATTGTGGCCACATTTGACGAAAAAATTTCAAGCGCATAGATTTTTCGTTCCCTTGTGAACTAAAATCTAACTACGCAATCGTTCTATTATAATAACTACCACAAGTGGAAGTCACTTATTTAACACAGTCTGCTATAGACAAGTGCAACAGCATCTAATCTCACATCTAACTAATTTACTAAGTGACATATAAATCCGAACACCCGTTTAAATGGTTTTATTTTAATAAAATTTTGTATGAGTACTTAATGAAGCATAATAAGTAAATGATAAAAATTTCAAAATGATTGCAGTGCTTTAAAGCCCTTTGACCTTTAATAATGTGTGGATGCACCCTGATGTGCTACGCATTCTCCAACGCGCCTAGGCATGCTTCTGATCAGGTGGTCAATGTCCTCCTCATTCCAGGCAACCACCAACTCCTCTCGAAGTGCTTCTAGAGTCTGAGGAGGACGTTGCAAATTGAGCAATCTCCTAAGCATCATATCCCACACGTGCTCAATTGGGGATAAGTCGGGAGATCTTGGTGGCCATGGTAACAATGTGACATCATTATGTTGAAAGAAGTCTATTGTGACTCTTGCAACATGTAGTCGGGCATTATCTTGTTGGAAAGTTGGATCTGCCAGGGTGTCAAGATAGGGTAAAAGATGGGGTTCTAGAACTTTGTGGATATAACGCTGCGCGTTCATGTTACCTCTGATGAAGATTAAAGGTGACCTGGAACCATAAGCTATAGTACCCCAAACCATAACTCCAACCGTGTGATGAACATGTCTTTCAACAAAGTACTGTGGATTCCTCCTTTCACCACGTCGCCTTCTACCCTGGCACGACCATCGTGCATGCCTAAACAAAATCGAGACTCGTCACTAAAGACAATACTGTTCCATTCCTGATTCCAGAGTGACCGTTGTCTGCACCACTCAAGGCGATTACGTCGGTGTTCTCGAGTTAAAGGAAGGACCCAGTGTGGCCGGTATGAAAACAAGCCAAAACTTCTCATTCGTCGGTAAACACTTCGCATACCAATAGGTCTTCAGTGTTCTGCAAACCATTCATTTGCCATGGACCTGGTAGTGGAGAAACGGTCCCTTAAGGCCAATAATCCTATGCGGCGATCTTCACGGTCCGTTGTTCTACGGCGGCGTCCAGTGCCCCTTGCTCTTTGCGTACGGCCTTCTCGAAGCCATGCCTGACAACACCTAACCACAGTGTCTACACTTCTTTGCACTCTAACTGCAATTGCCCGAAAAGAAAGTCCAGCTTCCCGAAGTCCCACTATACGGCCCCTATCAAACTCACTAAGTTGACGAAATCGTACAGGTCTCCGTACTCTAGGCATCGTAACCGATCGTAAAGGATGTCAAGAACCAAAATCCGCCAACGTTGATTCTTTACTGCCAACTGTCCAACTGATAAGGCTGAACATTTTTTCACGTGTTATTTACAGTAAGATAAATACATTCACCAACTTTGATTAAAATAAAACCATTTAAACTGGGTGTTCTGATTTATATGTCACTTAGTATAGTTGACCAACTGTATGTATACATGAGCAAGAGACAGCGACATAGTATGTTTCCTTTATTGTAAAATTTACACTCTAGTGAATTTATATCCCTAGTAATAAGCATAATTGATACCTTTCGGCAGGCGATGGCGAAAAATACACTTTTTGCAAGTGTTAGGTATGAGACTTTCCTTAACAGCATGCGGAAAGTACGCAGATGCGTGTTGAAAGAGAGTACTTTCCGCTGATAGGAAAAATACTCCAATGGCTCAAAATCTGTCTATTTCGGTCTGCCTTGACTAAAAATACCTTCAACTGTGTTACAGGATACAATTTCTACATGGACGTCCACAGACGCCTCATTGACTTCCTCTATGAAGCGATAGATGACCACAAGCAAATGTATGACCCCGAATGCCCCCGCGACGTTATGGATCTTTACTTAAGCATGATCAACTTTAACTGCAAGCTGCAGAATTCCACCTTTTCTGAGCAACAGCTGGTCATCACTTGCATGGATATGTTCATCGCAGGTTCGGAGACCACGAGTAACACTTTGGGCTTCTGTTTCCTGTATTTGGTGTTGTATCCGGAGGTTCAAAGGAAGGCCCAAGAGGAGATCGATAGTGTCTTGGGAAGAGAAAGGGCACCTACGCTCAGCGACAGACAACAGTAAGAATATAACATATTATTGATGAAATATAATTACTAAAAGTCAGACAGTTCTTAAATACATAGCATCCTCACTCTGTACAAGGCCGAAATAAGACCTAGCCTTACTCCCTTGGGGTGTGATCCATGCTCAACGCTGTTAAGAGCAGGCCTGTCCTACTGATCGACGAGTGTTCTCTAACGGACAGTCTCGGTATCGTTGCGCACCGAGCGAAGGACATCGGCGATCTAACAGAGTATCTTTAGGCTCCTCATAGCAGTCACGTTGCCCCGGTATTTAAGCTTGTATGGTTGCTTCGGTATAAAAGAGATCTACTTTGAACTGAGGCGAATAAATGAAAGATTTGAAAAAGATTCTGTGAGGAGAAGCCTCTACGACGAGCCAACTTGTGCAAATATATCCTTTCATGAAGTAATTACAGCGTTGCGTAAATAAGGCAGAGTCGATCTACCTGACACACTTTTTTTATTTTGCAGGCTTCCGTACATTGAGTGCATCGTATGGGAATCAATGAGGATGTTTGTTGGCCGAGGGTTTACACTTCCACATAGAGCAATCAGAGCCACAAAATTGTGCGGATATTCTCTACCAAAGGTAAGATAATATTGAATATTACAGTTTGATCCACAAAAGATTGTGAATTTGCAGATTTCCTTGTTTTTATTAATTTGCAGGCCCCGGATGTATAGCTTTGTATTTTTAAGATTACGAGACTAACAAGAAGCGCCATAGAGCACATACGGTTTCGATGGATGGCCGAGTTCTGCCAAAGAGCCATTCATTTCAGCTGGTCGGAATCCAGGTCACCGAGGACTTGATCTGGCATGAACACATTTCGTGAATAGCGGCAGCTGCTGAAAAAAAGCTAGGCTACTTGTTTAGCGCTAAAAGATACATAGTATGACCTCACTCTGAACAAGACCTGCATAAGGCCTAGACTCGAGTACTAAAACAGTTTCCTTGAATCTATGAATCTAGTTTAGTTAAACCAAAACGCAATTGTTTAATTAAATTTATTAAACCGTTATTAAGTTATTGAACTGTTAAAATGAATGTACTTGCTGCAAGTAGCTCAATTCAATTACAATTCATATATTTGTTTAACCAGATTAGGTAAAAGTGTTTGCCTAGCTCTAACGAACTGCTTTATTTAGAATTAATAGGATATTTGGGCAATATTTGGAATTTAATAGAACAAATTGAATTTTACTGAATGATGTATATTATAACTGCTCTGACAAATCTTACATCTAGATATCGAAAAATTTGGATAACGTGATATTGATGTTTTCGAATCAAAACTTCCGAATCATCCATAACGAAATTTAATAATTTTTTCTATTGGGGGTGTCAACACGAAAAGGTCGCACTCCTATTTGTGATTCTCCCCCCGTCCCCCTCCACCAGTCAGTGTTATTGTATGTCAAAGACAAACTTCGTCTTTCATTTCAAATTGTTACCTGCTTAGTTGTGATAAGTATTGAACAAAGACTTATTCAATTCAAGAAAGGGTAGCAATGACCAAAATGGGGGCATTCCAAGAGCTACTACCCGATTATTTAATGCGTTACATCCAGAAAAAAAAGATTTACGATAAGTATTTGGCTAGGTTGATAAGAAAATGTGAAGAATATTATTTGGGGACACGTAGCACTTGACAACGTCCAAAGCACTCATGGACTGGCTACTTTTTCGAGGTCGAGGTTTTCGCTGATGCAATGGAAAGTCAGTTCTCTCCCAACTATGACCTTGATAATGACCTCGACGAGGTGCAACATATTGTAAGATCCGTCAGCATATATTTTAGGGCTAATGGCATCAGTAGTGCCTCCCTTAGTAATTTTTCCTCAGAGGAATCTTCAGAAGATTCCTCAACAGAAAAGCTGCATGGCACATCAGCGTAATCTCCTGAGACTCCGCATTGCACACCAGCAGAGCTCCAAGGTCATATTAAAGACCTCAAGGTGCGTAAAGCTCCTGGAGAGAATCGAATCACTAATAAGGCGCTGATCTACTTTCGCGGAAGTCCTTAACTTATCTCGTGGCAATAATCAATGCCATGCTAAGAACCCAGCACTTCCTAACGGCGTGGAAGACCGCTAATGTCATAATGATTCCAAAGAAGGTGGGTTCGTTATTCCCCCAGGATTACCGCCCCATTAGTCTAATGTCAGCTCGCTGAAAAGGTGATTCACCTTGAAAATGACTCGGCAGACAACAATGTGATTCCTGACAAGCAATTTGGCTTTCGGTCTGAGCATAGTACGGAGCTACAGGCCATAAGGCTTGTTGAACGAGTAACCAGGGGGTTCACCCGTAACGAAAGTACTGGCATCTTGCTTCTGGATGTCTCAAAGGCATCTGACAAGGTGTGGCACAAGGGCCTTCTCTACAGATTGATCCATAAGAGCTTCCCCTTCTGGCTCCTAAAACTTTTGAAATCCTTCCTCTAGGGTAGGAAATTTAATAACGTTCTGTCGACAACACGGCCCATCAAAGTCGGTGTCTCTCAGGGTTCGGTTCTTGGACCACTTTCATTCACTTTTTATTCATGACGTCCCTTGCCCCAGCAACTGTGAAATCTACCTCTATGCTGATGATACTGCGCTGGTGGTCCAGTCGTGCTCTGGGGATCTAGTCCACGACAGGCTGCAAAGTGCAGTGGACGAGGTACTGGAATGGGCGAATCGGTGGCAATCTATTGTACTAAAAAACGTACGACATCGTAACTTATGTCTTTTTTCTCCATTTCAGGATGTCAAAGTAGTCGGCAACTTCTACGATAGCTCTCTGGGCGAAGAATGTGGCCTGGAAGACCCATCGGCCTTCAAACCAGAACGCTACCTTAAGAACGGACAGGTCGTGATTCCAGACAATATCATACCGTTTGGATTGGGTAAACGTAGGTGTATAGGGGAAGCACTGGCAAGAGGCAACCTTTTCCTCTTCATCACAGCTCTTCTGCAGAGGTTCAACTTCAGCCGAATGCCGAACGAAAGTCCTCCGTCCACGGACTGGGAGGACGGGTTCACGCCTAGACCGAAGAATTTCCAAGTTGTTGTGAGCGAAAGATGACTCCGGTTGATCTCTGAAGATTGAAGTACGTCGCAAAAGTGTTCCTTCGGACTTTTATTGTCTATAAAATTTGGGTTTACGGCGCTTCGATTCAATTTCGCTGGATATGTGACAAAATCCACGTGCTTGATTTTCCAAGTGGTTTTGATCCCAAACTCGGAAAAGATGCATAATTCTATTAGCGCTTATAGTCTGGATTCGATAGTTATACCATTTTAAAATAAAATGTATAAAAACCTTCTAGGAGCTTATACAGGGTGTGAACGTTATGATAGTCATTATTTAAATGCGTGATAGAGGGGTTTAAAGGAAGCGAAAAGTTTCATATAACATGGGGGTCAAAACGGAATTTTTTAGAGAAAAGCGACTTTAAAGTAAAATAAAATCTGACAATGCCGCAATGCCAGACGGAAATTACGATGGAACGCAGAGTAAATAAAGATGGAGTTTGATATTTTTGTCTTTTGACTTAATGCCATTTATTTGTTAATTACCCATTTTAAAAACATTTTAGATTAGATTATAAAAATTAGTAAGGTTGTGGTGATTGTGGTCGATATAAAGTACTTAAAGTTGTAAACTATCAAGCCAGTTACACATAAATCTATTGACATTTGGACCACGGGTCATATGAACATTTTGACTTGTCTTGACCCTCCCTATTACCCATTTCAATAATGACGACCATAACGTTTACACCCTGTAGAACTAAATCATCATGTGCCTCATCGAAGTAAGACGGCTTTCAAATGCGTAGCGGATACAGCTCCAACAGATAGCTTGCAGATTGATTCTGGTAATAGATAGCCTTTTGTGCTGTCTTATTTCGATTAAACTTATATCCTGGGTAGAGGATAACTGCCATGCTTTCATTCATTGTCCTATTTGAGACCAAGTCCAAACCGAGCTGATGAGTTCCCAAACAGCACAAAACACCTATAAATGATAAGTCATAACGGCATGGACAGGCCTAAGCTTGCAATGATACTGAAAGGCGTTATCAGATGAAGTTCATAACCTTTATTGATGCCCATCCTACGTCAAAATCTACTACCTACTATTTCTTGTCCTATTTTTTTTTTCGTGTTCTAAGCCAGGAAACCTCATCTGCATTTCTGATAGTCACCTTGACCTTGATTAAAAAATACGTAATCGAAACACTAAAAGATGCAAATTGTCAAACAGTGGAAGACTGAAGTGGTACTTGTGAATCTGGTTGTACAGATTTGTACAAAGATGTAAATAGTTAGAATAAAAAAGGTGCGGACGTGTTGTAAATTTACCTGCCGGAAATGGAAATTTCAGGAATCTGCAGTGAGCAAGGTCTATCTGTCTAGATCTAGAAACACCTCAATTGATGACTGTGGTAACATACAATCACTAGACACGATTGAATTCGTCTTATCTACTCCAAAGAAAAGACCTAGAGGACCAGCAGACTTGCACTACAGCTTCGCTAAAATATCCATCCTTGCTGTGATTATAGAAAAATTCTAGGAATTTTAAGTTTGAACGTATGTAGATTGTGTTATTTTTTTATATATAAATTAAAATTCTGGTTCTAAATATACGTTTTTATTTATTTATTTATAATTCCCAACAGGATACACACAATTGCAGGACACCAACAACGAAAATAAATTAATAATTTAACAACAGCAGAACATGAAAAACACAATATAGAAGTATGGCAGTATTTGAAGTGTGGAAATAGCATTTAACATTCTGACTCTACAGGGTGTATACTTTATGATAGTCATTATTTAAATGGGTGATAGAGGGGGTTGAAAGAAGCAGAAAGTGTCATATAACATGGGGGTCAAACGGCATTTTTTTAGAGAAAAGCGACTTTAAAGTAAAATAAATCTGACAACGCCGCAATGCCAGACGCAAATTACGACGGAACGCAGTGTAGATAAAGATGGAGTTTGATATTTTTGGCTCTTATAATGTACTCGTAAAATGCAAACAATTCGATAAGAGTGATGAATGACCGACGCACTGTTGTCATGTGTGTTTTAAATATTTAATATAACGAAACTTACTTACTTACTGACTACAAATTTTGGCTTAACTTAATGCCATTTATGTGTTAATTACCCTATTTGAAAACGTTTTAGATTAGATTATAAAAATTAGTGAGATTGTGGTGATTGTGGCCGCTATAAAGCACTTAAGTTGTAAACTATAAAGGCGTTTAGACAAAAATCTACTGACCTTTGGACCATGCGTCATATGAACCTTTTGACTTGTTTTAACCCCCTATTACCCACTTTAATAATGACTACCATAAACTTTACACCCTGTATATCACAGCAAGGTACCAATCCAATACAGAGCTATTCTGACAAATGTCAAGGTAAACCAAATTCGAACAGCGGCTACGTAACTTAGGGACGGAAAGATAAATTTTAATTAATGTTTAGGGGCAATCAATTTGATTGTTTAGTACTCTATGTACAAATCTTAGCACCGATAAATCACGCCTCAGTTGTGACGGCTCAACTTGAAAGATCTTTAACAGTGCGCAAAGGTCGAAACCTCTTTCAGGGTAGTGACCGTGACACTTCAAATAAAAATGTCTAAGTGCCTTACGCTTATTGTTGCTTAGGTTGCGATATCAGAGAAGCCCGACAATTTTTTGAAGCAATCGACGAATGATGTAAATAATGTATTTACTATATATGAAGAATGCGTCCATTAGCTGTCAATTTGGCGTCAAAAACAATCCAAATCCTTGGAAGTCGATGTCTAGCAGGTTGCCGTCAATGTTATATACTAAGTGACATATAAATCCGAACACCCAGTTTAAATGGTTTTATTTTAATAAATTTTTGTATAAGTACTTAATGAAGCATAATAAGTAAATGATAAATAATAAAATGATTGCACTGCTTTAAAGCCCTTTGACCTTTAATAATGTGTGGATGCACCCTGATGTGCTACGCATTTTCCAACGCGCCTAGGCATGCTTCTGATCAGGTGGTCAATGTCCTCCTGTGGTATCTCATTCCAGGCAACCACCAACTCCTCTCGAAGTGCTTCTACAGTCTGAGGAGGACGTTGCAAATTGAGTAATCTCCTACCCATCATATCCCACACGTGCTCAATTTGGGATAAGTCGGGAGATCTTGGTGGCCATGGTAACAATGTGACATCATTATGTTGAAAGAAGTCTATTGTGACTCTTGCAACATGTGGTCGGCATTATCTTGTTGGAAAGTTGGATCTGCCAGGGTGTCAAGATAGGGTAAAAGATGGGGTTCTAGAACTTCGTGGATATAACGCTGCGCGTTCATGTTACCTCTGATGAAGATTAAAGGTGACCTGGAACCATAAGCTATAGCACCCTAAACCATAACTCCAACAGTGCGATGAACATGTCTTTCAACAAAAAACTGTGGATTCCTCCTTTCACCACGTCGCCTTCTAACCCTGGCACGACCATCGTGCATGCCTAAACAAAATCGAGACTCGTCACAAAAGACAATACTGTTCCATTCCTGATCCCAGAGTGACCGTTATCTGCACCACTCAAGGCGATTACGTCGGTGTTCTCGAGTTAAAGGGAGGACCCGGTGTGGGCGGTATGAAAACAAGCCAAAACTTCTCATTCCTCGGTAAACACTTCGCATGAAAATAGGTCTTCCGTGTTCTGCAAACCATTCATTTGCAATGGACCTGGTAGTGGAGAAACGGTCCCTGAAGGCCAATAATCTTAGGCGGCGATCTTCACGGTCTGTTGTTCTACGGCGGCGTCCAGTGCCCCTTGCTCTTTGCGTACGGCCTTCTCGAAGCCATGCCTGACAACACCTAACCACAGTATCTACACTTCTTTGCACTCTAACTGCAATTGCCCGAAAAGAAAGTCCAGCTTTCCGAAGTCCCACTATACGGCCCCTATCAAACTCACTAAGTTGACGAAATCGTACAGGTCTCCGTACTCTAGGCATCGTAACCGATCGTAAAGGATGTCAAGAACCAAAATCCGCCAACGTTGATTCTTTACTGCGGCTGAAATATTTATTTTTAGAGCGTTAGTGAATTAAAAAAAAGCAGTACAAAAACCGGAATGTCCAACTTATAAGGCTGAAAATTTTTTCACTTGTTATTTACAGTAAGATAAATACATTCACCAACTTTTATTAAAATAAAACCATTTAAACTGGGTGTTCGGATTTATATGTCACTTAGTATAACTATCGTATACTTTAGGATATAGTTTTCTAGTAAATGACATAACCTTGAATTTTGAAATATTAATATTAAGTTGATTGTTAGAGCAGCATGAGTAGATATTTCACTCAGTTTCGCAACAGAATGCAGTCATTGAGATTATGAATCACAGCATCAATTTTCAAATCATTTGTTTCTTTGATGGAGATTTACTTAGCATTAATGCTACAATGTCAATTTCATTCTTCAATCCATTGTATATTAAAATTACATCACTATGCATTCTGATATTCATAAAGTGATTTTTTAATTTCACCTCAAACATTTTTAAATTCGAACATTGCTTAATATCATTATTCAATTTATTAAGTCCAAATACCCCTTTTAAAATATATATTTACTAGTTATGCTGTTATTACAGTTTTGCAGATGAAAATCTACACTGCCTCTAGTTTCGTAGTCATGATAATGACTGTTCAAGTTTTCTAAATGTGGGGGTAATAAATGATTTTTTAGTTTGAATATGGAAACGAGAACTATATATGAAATTTTTCACATTCAACCACTGCAGTTCTTCTAACATAGACTTAATCCTAGCACAAAGTAGATGCATGCATGGCAAAGACAGCGATAAGTCATTGATGAAGGTTATGCACAACAAAGCTCCTAAATTGGAAATCTAAGGTACACGAGATGTTGCAGTATAACTCTCGGATTGATAGTCGCCATATTCCACATAGGTGCTCCTTTGCAGGATATATAACAAGTAATGATCTATTTGATCAAGGGCCATTTGACAGTCAGCATATATGACATCCAATTGACCTTGATCATCCAGAACCTCATAAATGTTCGCGTGAAGCAAGTCAAGTGTGTGGGTATTAAGCTCCCAAATATAAACCCATCCTGATTGTAAGAAATAGATCCCATCAAAGATCCATACAAGACAGTATTGCTATTATCGCTGGCATCACCATTTTAAAAAATCGGACAAACCTTCGCCATTTCCCAGAACGAGGGGTGTGTACATGTTGACAGCATTAGATTGAAAATCGCACACAGATGTGTGGCTAACACATTAATACAATTTTTCACTATAAAGCTGGGAACACCATCGAAACCTGAAGTCATTTTGTTTTTTAGTTTCCTAGAATAATACCATGTTTACAAATATTGTTCAGTGCATTTGTTGAGCTAGCGGGATTAATGATCTATAGTTAGATGCATCAGACTTTGTGAAAACTATTGAAGTATTATGCAAAAGCGTCAACTATCTCCTTAGAGTTAATGGCATTACTGATTAAATGATTCCAAGATTCAGATACTTTTTCTCGATTTCCCTACCAGAACATTTTTCCAGTAATTAAGCCTAAGATTTCTTTAAATCTAGATGATCTCAAGCTTTACATTGTACTTAGCTTATTAAAATCCCCGAGTTCCTCTCTTTAGATTTCCAATAAATAAAAGTCAAAATATAGTTTAGTGCTCTTCTTCGATAGCCTGCCCTGGGCTTAATATCATAATTTTGTTTGAATTTAATTTAATATACCCTCGATTCTACTTAGATTTAACATATAACTTTTCGTCAATATTATCTTTGTTGTTTAATTTAACAACTGCACGCGGGCCTCGCTGATAAATAAATCATTATCTATCTAAGGTAAATGCAACAATTACAATACTCTTCCATTCCCAAATCGTAGGATTACTCGCAATATATGCAAGACTGCCTCTGCAAATATCTCTGGAGGCATCTGGAAAACATCCGCAAAAAACCTTCCTGCTCTGCGGATATCATAGTTGCAGCTCTTCTGTGCTCTTGCTGATGTGGAAACGTGTAGCATTGTACGGAAGCCGTACCTACCTGTATTAATCATACTCGCTCTCAAAACTGCTTGGTCCATGTACAGGGAAAACCAGATTTGTCTGACAGCTTCAGCTCAATGTGTACGAGAGCGAACCCCGTGATATGTGTATCAACACGCGTTAGAAAGAGATAGAAGCCGACTGAAGAGCGATGGTCATAACTAGGTTAGGTTACTGCCAAACCCAAGAAGGAGGTCTGTTCTAACATATAATCTAATTTTTGGGTCATTCGCCGACCTGATAGCGCCTATTAAATAACATCGATGTGAAAATATCAGACAAGTATTAATTTTTCCCTCTCCTTGTTACAGCTTTTATATCTAACTTCAATAATCAAATACGACTACAAAAAGGAGGCTTGATCATTATGCTTATGTTTATGTGGATTCCTATACTTGGCCATTGTTCCAGTCACTAAACATGAAAAGCTCCATTATTTAAACTACCCACCGACCTGATAGCGCTTATCAAATTTCATCTATGTGCAAATATGAAACAACCATTATTTTCTTTCCACTCACTCTTACATCTTCCATGTCTCCAATAATCCAATACGACCTCTATTGCTTTACATCGGAAGATGTTCTTGCCACTGAGTTTGTTGATAATCGTGATAGTTCTGTGTGGTTACCAAAGCACCAGAAAGCCCAAAAACTTCCCTCTTGGCCCCCGTTGGTGGCCATTTCTCGGCAGCGCACCACAGGTTCAGTACCTCCGCAAGAAAACCGGTCATCTGCTCTTGGCGACTTCAAAGCTAGCTCGCCAGTATGGACCTGTCATCGGCCTGAAAGTTGGTGGAGAGCAAATCGTTGTCGTTCACGGAGCCAAGGTATGTGGTCAAGATGTGTTGCTTGATTAGGTAAAATGATTTTTGTCGACATTCATCGTCATCTGATAATTTGCTGGAACACTGTAAGAGTAAAATTCTTAGTTGTAGTTTAGATACTATTTTACCGTGCGATCAGGTTTCCATTTAACACAAACTCGATCATTCGAATAGGACGCTTTGGCCAAATTTGGAAAAATTCATACAAGCAAGATTCCATCCTCGCATTTTTGGGCTCCGAGAGAACCACGCCAAATTGTTAGCCACTTGTTAAATTGCACTCTTCCAATTCCAAAGAGTGCAAGTGATGCTCACGAGTATTTGACATTATTTAAGTGATCTTTGCTTGAATGCGTAACAATCATAGAAAAAATCTTGCCTCCATCCTAATATTGATAGTTTTTTATCTGGATTTACATCTCATAATTAAGTGATGAACAATGTTTTGCATCAGGTATCTACAGTTTGTTTTGCATCTCAACTTAAAAACAGCAAAATATTCTACTTATAATCCATAATAAACTATTTTGTACCTAGACAAAATTACATTTGTATTCCTGAAGTAGATTGTTTACGTCAATTTACAAGGATGACGCAGGCAATTTGGTTTAGCTACGTTGGTCAAATGCATTTGAAGCTGGTAGATTGAAAATCTATCAGTCATTGTCTGTAAGAGTGGTCCTCTTCTTGGATGAAATATGGTAGGTCAGATGGTATGTCAGGTTTGGTTGCCTAGATATCAGGGAACATCAGGGAGAAAGAAGGGAAGAGAAAGAAAGGAGGCAAGGGTCCTCCACTATTGTTAACCGGGCTTAAGAATTTTCTATATCGTCAGTCGTTCCCATAATTGTAGGACGCCTTCATGGTCTCCTTGATTTTTATAGTCTTTCCTGTTCATCAGAAAGGCAGGGGTATTTCCAGATTCCTACTGTTCCATGTCATGGCTCTATTTAGAGGTTACAAATATCTATTTCCATAAAATTAATCATGCTTTTCGTTTATATCATCTGTTTAATGAGCCTGAAATTTACTGCAATTCAAAACGAAAGCACGACGCTGATACGAAACGGTAGAAATCTAAAAATACCCAAGCATTTCTGAACGAGACTATGAAAATTAGAGAGGCCAAACAGGCGTCCTACAATGAGGGATCCAATGGATAGGCCCGCAGAGTCCCTTTTTGGGCAACATGAGCTGGGCTTATACTCTTGCACGGTTTAAAATTCTGAACCTTGCAGTGCATGAACCAGCTCTGTAACATTTGAATTGCAGAAACTGACGTGTATCATTAGACACACTTTTCTTCCTTGCGATAGGAGCTTTGGAGCCATATAGATACAAAAAGGAACGCACGACAAAATACATTTACCTCAATAGTACTCAAAGATTATTGAAAAGACAAAAAAAAACTTGAAGGTCCTCCATGTTGCGCAGGATATTCTTGTAAATTTCAAGGCCATCAGTTGTTTGCAAAGAACCTTCTTTTAAAGCAGAACAAAAAATTTACAATTTGGAAATATCGGATCATGCGCTATGATAAGCTAGATAATGAGATATCATTTGAACGTAGTGAAACAGTCTCTGTCTACACTACAAATAAGATTTATAGTGAAAGAAGAGAGCTAATGAAAAATAACTTTGATCACTGATAAAAAACATGTGCCACAAAGTTTCTCGACAGATGATGAAGAAGCTTCCGCATCAGAATTCAATGGAGATAAATAAATGAAAATATTTTCTGTGTGTATCAAAAGATAAACCATCTATTAGCTTATTTCATTCTGTAAGTTAACAAAAAATAGCATTTTCAGCGTCAAAGTTTGATTTATTTCAATTTTGTCCCTTAAAAAATCTAGAAACTTTGCATAAACCAGTCAAGTCCATTAATCTTCCCCTCATAGCTCATTTATTTTTTATATACAGATTGATATATTTTAAGAATAATACAACAGAATTATCTGCAATTGTCAACAAATACGAAAATTTTCAATAACAAAAAATTTACATCAAAATTCATTTTCCTTGACATTTTTCCTCTTCTTATAAAGCGGAATTTCGTTCATCCAACTTAATCTTGCGGAACGGTGCAACTGGTTGCCTATATTCAGTTTCTTACGTCTCTGTGTATGCGCTATAATTTGAGAGAGCAAATATACGATCATTCTGCATTGTTAGTTAGTAATAATCTTCTCACATACAGACCAACACACTCACTCATCCAGATGTGACCTTGATACCCTGCTAGTCAACCACGCATCTTCTCAGAGTAGACTCCAGAGACTATCTCGGAATTCTGCAACCAACAAAGCATGTCGTTGAGTCATACCTCCATAGATGGACGCTTTTGATGACGTTCACTGCGAGCCACCCAGGCACTATCTAGGCAGCAAGTTGACATCTTGTCGTATTTTTTTGACGTTTTATAGGTTTTTTTACGTAATCACCCTGCCGCTGGTTCCAAGGCGCCTGACATAGGGTTATTGTAAAACTTTCTCAGGCAACATGAAAATTGATATGAATTTTTCTATATATCCTTGAAATATCACCGTATGATGACGTTAATATGACAAATATAAATATATCTGACGATATACATATGTTTCACATGTACAAGTGTATAGTTACATATTAAGTTACATCAGAATGAGATCATTACATGAGTACACAGATACCTCAGTCTATATCCATTAGCAAATGTCTCAAGGATACCAAATAATTATGTAAGCTTGAAGTAAAATAATCTCATAAGTTATGAATGAAAGATAAATATTTTCACTGCACCTCATTTATACACCATTTATTGTGTATATATATATATATATATAAATATAAAATAAAAATTCCAGCATGCTATGATCGAAAGTCGTATGGATTAAGCAATACTGGGTTGGGGTTATAGCAATTGATAACCAAATAAATAAATTGGAAGTTATTAAAAAAAATGTATCTATACCCATCTGATCTGTTGCATTCTGAAGCAAAACTGTTAGAGCCTAGGCAACTATATCTTTATAGAATTATAGTTTATTAGTTTCAGTATAGAAATTGTCTTATTGCGTGAGATCACTTATAAAAGATGAGGAACAGAAGGGATATTTCAAAATTGAAACAAAAATTGAGAAAAATCGACATGAAAAGCATGATACGTGTGAAAGGAAACTAAACTCAATGTAGTTGCTCAAAAGTTCGAAACTCCCATGTTCCATGTTCATATACGTATATACAGGGTGACTTTGAAGTTGAGTCATTAATTTTCAGATAATGATTGTAGAAGGAATATAAACCAAAATATGTGTGTAAAAATAAAAAAAAATAAAAAAAAAATTTTACCTTGTTTTATAAAGTATCCTCCCGACAAGTATTTCAGTGCGGACCTGTATTTGATCGTGAGGTCCCCTGTGAGGTCTTAAGTCACCTGATTCACGAGCCCGTTGTACTACATTAACAAAGGCACGAGGGGTTGGTTGCACTCGATTGGGAAACCGATCCGCATAAACATGTGCCATTTTTTATTTCGTTTGCGCCACGCAACAGATACAACTATTCACTGACACTTACTGTATACAAATGAATGAAATAATTCGTTCCAAATTCTTTCGCTTTTTTGTTTCCGATACGATGAACCGATACGACGGATTATATCCGTTGTCGCCAAACACGAGCACATTGAGACAGGGCGGTACTCAAACTTCCAAAGGGCTATAACTTTGTTACTTTAATTTTACCAGAAAAATGGTAAAGGAAAAAAACATTTCTTTTGATCAGATCTACTCACTGTTAAAATAAATGACTCAACTTCGAAGTCACCCTGTATATATATATATATAACTTGAGACGTGGTCATTGTCGTCTAGACCAGTTAGGTCAAAAATTAAAGCTTCCGCCTTTTGTTGGGTACTTCGACAAAATTTAAGCAAGGAGGACTCTTTATACTTTCTTAATCTCTTAGCTTTCAATGGTCTTTGCCATCATCATCAGGAGAGTAGTATGTGAGGATGTTGCTAAATGTTATTTACGTAAGGATGAGGAAACACCCAGTAACCTGGTGAAAGGTGGATACATGTACAGGGTGTCTCAGAATATGTGAATCAAATTGCAATGGGAGATACCTTAGATAATGACCTCTCAATTGCTGTAAAGACCTGACAAAAAAAACGTGTAACCTTTGCGTTAAAACAAAAAATCAGTTTTTTGAAAAAGTATGACTTTCGTCAAACTTTCGACGACAGGTTTAGGGTTTATTTTAATTTTTTTTCACTATTATTATTAGCGAATGATTGAAGCATGAAACTAAAAACAGTTTTATTCTAAAAGTCACGTAATTTTGAAATCTCAGCGCTATTTTGGAATTTTTTTTCTGCATCAAGAAGTCTTGTAAGTTCAACTAACAGTGGTATAAGAAAAATGTATGGGACTTGTTTGGCAAACCTATCCGAAGAATAGCCCAGTTAATGAAGATTCGAAAATGGTACAAATCAGGTAATTTTCCTCAACAGAGTAGGAGAATAAAAATTCTTAGGGTGCAAGGGCGAAATTGGTCAAATTTCAAAATTACAATGCTACTCATTAGAAGACCTGCGACAAAGAATTGTGAATGAGTGCCTTCAAATTACTCCTCAAATATTGCAAAATGTGCAGCAACGTTTTGACCAAAATCTTTATTATTGCACGAAGAGTCATGGTGGCCATTTTCAACATTTACTTGCCTAACGGGTCAGTTTATTCTTATCTTATCTATTTTTAAATGCCAAATTTATTGCTCTCCACTAATGATTATGTATTAGTTTTATTTAAGCTTTAAATCAATAAATATTCAAAACTACTGAAGTGCATTAATTTTATATCGTTATAAAGGATATTGAAAGACCTTTAAAATAAGGTATCACTCGACCACCCTCTTCATTTAAGATTTTGGGGTTGGTGTCACCCCCGCTCAGGAGGCTGCACGTGCTAACGTGATTTTTTGCCAAACTTGTGTCCCCCTCGTAAACAAAATCGACGGGACTGAGCGTTTTTCAAAAAAAAACCTGAGCTGCCAGTAAATGCGTCTGTTTTGTTTTCGATGCGCCACCCTGTACAGGTAAAGATGATAAAAATGCAATATTATTTAGACCAGAAACATCTTATATGTAGAAATTCGTGAATTTTGTTTATTCTACAGGCCTTGAGAGAATTTCTTGGGAATGAAGACTTGAGTGGAAGACCTAACAGCAAGCCTGACACATATCGGTCATGGGGGAAAAGATTAGGTAACTACCCTTAGTTTATGTTTAAACAAGTGAACAATTGATGAAATGAGAAAAAAATACAAACATATAGTATATGTATACAGGGTTATCCAAATTAAGTGTCCACCATTAGTAACTTTGTTATTAGTGAAAATACAAAGTTGTTTGAATTAGCAAACTAGTAGCATTTTTAACGCTGGTAAAAATGAGAAATAAAAAAAAACAATTGAGAGTCGTTATTTTGATTTTTTTCAGTAAAATAACATTTTTTTAAATGGAAACCCCTATATATTATATTTTTTTCTGTTAAAGCATCAAATTTTAAACAAAAAAGCTTACAATAACTTTTCTCCTAGGTTACAAATTGTTGAAGTTATGGCCTCCAATCTGAAACAATTAAATTGTATCGACAAACTTTATTTTCAACATCAACTTATAATCTTACAAAATACAATAACAATTTTTTTTAAAGAAGATGCTCGAAAACACCACCTTGTTCTTCAATACATTTTTGGGCACGTTTTTCAACTGCTCGAACTGTCTTAAGTATGGTCCTACCATCTATCTGGGTTATCTTTTCCCTAACTGCAGTCTTTAACGCGTCAAGGTTATCGTACCTTCGCTTGTAAATTTGGTTCTTTAAGTAACCCCACAAGAAGTAATCAAGTGGATTTAGATCGATTTAAATTCGTTGAATCGCTGGACCGATTCAAGTTATTTGAATAAACTCATTGAAATCAGACTATGTGATTGCACAAAAATCAATATATCAAATACACTATTATATTGTAGCGTTTTTGTGGGTTCTGTTGGGTGTGGATTAAAACACTGGATTCCACAAAAAGAAATGCACTAATTTTAAGTTGACTATATAGAACATTTATCTACACCACTATACAGGGTTATCCAAATTAAGTGTCCACCATTAGTAACTTTGTTATTAGTGAAAATACAAAGTTGTTTGAATTAGCAAACTAGTAGCATTTTTAACGCTGGTAAAAATGAGAAATAAAAAAAAACAATTGAGAGTCGTTATTTTGATTTTTTTCAGTAAAATAACATTTTTTTAAATGGAAACCCCTGTATATTATATTTTTTTCTGTTAAAGCATCAAATTTTAAACAAAAAAGTTCATAATGACTTTTCCGCTAAAGTCAAAAATAAAGTCAAAATAACGATAAATATTTTTAATTATCTGCAGTATTATAATATTAAAACGGCTATGAAAACAACATGGCGTTCGCGATTTGACAGCATTAAGATAAGCGACAAATTGTTAAACTGGACATACTCGCAACTAGAAGGCTTTGGAAAACAATGATAAAATCAAATAATGTCAAACATTAGTGTTAATACTTGTTTATAAGCTTTATTGTGTCATTAATTTAAAGAAAAATGTTCTCCCATAAAAGTGTGATATGTTAGAATGCTATTTAGTGTGCAGAAAATCCTCCTTGAGAGCAAGAGAATACTACAGTGAATTATATCCCGCTCGCATTCAACCGTATGAACGATATTTTCTGAGACTTTATCGAAAATTTAGGGGCAACGAAAATGTTTTTGCTAAAACAAGGGCAAAAAAAGAATTCATAATAAGCGAGGCCACGGAAATTGCAGTTATTGGATATTTTGAAGCTTATCGTGAGAATTCAATAGCAGATATTCTCAAGGACTCTAATTTCAGTTATGGTACTGTTCAAAGGATTTTAAAAAAATACAAATTTATTCCGTATAAGTACCGACCAGTTCAAACGCTTTTGGCAGGGGATCCAGAGAGAAGACTTGTTTTTTGCCATTGGTATCTTAGCTTCTGTCGCCAAAATGTAAATAACTTTCGTTACCTTTTATGGACAGATGAATCAAATTTTTCAAATTCTGGAATGTTTAATAGAAAAATCCACCATTATTGGTCAAGAGAAAATCTTTTGTTAGTACATCCAAGAGGCCCACAAGTCCGTTTCAGTTTCAACGTTTGGTGCGGTATAATTGGTTCAAAAATTGTTGGCCCGTTCTTTTATGAGGGAACCCTAACTGGTGAAAGATATGTGGAATTTATGTCAGAAATTCTGACTAATTTTTTAGACGAATTGGATCTTATAAGTAGACATCATCTGCATTTTCAGCAAGATGGCGCACCTGCCCACAATTCCACAGGTACTTATCATTTTCTAAGTACTACTTTTAATGATCAGTGGATAGGAACAAATGGCCCAATACAGTGGCCTCCCAGATCACCAGATCTAAATCCACTTGATTACTTCTTGTGGGGTTACTTAAAGAACCAAATTTACAAGCGAAGGTACGATAACCTTGACGCGTTAAAGACTGCAGTTAGGGAAAAGATAACCCAGATAGATGGTAGGACCATACTTAAGACAGTTCGAGCAGTTGAAAAACGTGCCCAAAAATGTATTGAAGAACAAGGTGGTGTTTTCGAGCATCTTCTTTAAAAAAAATTGTTATTGTATTTTGTAAGATTATAAGTTGATGGTGAAAATAAAGTTTGTCGATACAATTTAATTGTTTCAGATTGGAGGCCATAACTTCAACAATTTGTAACCTAGGAGAAAAGTTATTGTAAGCTTTTTTGTTTAAAATTTGATGCTTTAACAGAAAAAAATATAATATACAGGGGTTTCCATTTAAAAAAATGTTATTTTACTGAAAAAAATCAAAATAACGACTCTCAATTGTTTTTTTTATTTCTCATTTTTACCAGCGTTAAAAATGCTACTAGTTTGCTAATTCAAACAACTTTGTATTTTCACTAATAACAAAGTTACTAATGGTGGACACTTAATTTGGATAACCCTGTATATATATATATATAGCATATATATATATATAACTTGAGACGTGGTCATTGTCGTCTAGACCAGTTAGGTGAAAAATTAAAGCTTCCGAATTTTGTTGGGTACTTTGACAAAATTTAAGCAAGGAGGACTCTTTATACTTTCTTAATCTCTTAGCTTTCAATGGTCTTTGCCATCATCATCAGGAGAGTAGTATGTGAGAATGTTGCTAAATGTTATTTACGTAAGGATGAGGGAAACACCCAGTAACCTGGTGAAAGGTGGATACATGTACAGGGTGTCCCAGAATATGTGAATCAAATTGCAATGGGAGATACCTTAGATAATGACCTCTCAATTGCGGTAAAGACCTGACAAAAAAAACGTGTAACCTTTGCGTTAAAACAAAAACTCAGTTTTTTGAAAAAGTATGACTTTCGTCAAACTTTCGACGACAGGTTTAGGGTTTATTTTAATTTTTTTTCACGATTATTATTAGCGAATGATTGAAGCATGAAACTACAAACAGTTTTATTCTAAAAGTCACGTAATTTTGAAATCGCAGCGCTATTTTGGATTTTTTTTTCTGCATCAAAAAGTCTTGTAAGTTCGACTAACAGTGGTATAAGAAAAATGTATGGGACTTGTTTGGCAAACCTATCCGAAAAATAGCCCAGTTAATGAAGATTCGAAAATGGTACAAATCAGGTAATTTACCTCAACAGAGTAGGAGAATAAACATTCTTAGGGTGCAAGGGCGAAATTGGTCAAATTTCAAAATTACAATGCTACTCATTAGAAGATCTGCGACAAAGAATTGTGAATCAGTGCCTTTAAATTACTCCTCAAATATTGCAAAATGTGCAGCAACGTTTTGACCAAAATCTTTATTATTGCACGAAGAGTCATGGTGGCCATTTTCAACATTTACTTGCCTAACGGGTCAGTTTATTCTTATCTTATCTATTTTTAAATGCCAGATTTATTGCTCTCCACTAATGATTATGTATTAGTTTTATTTAAGCTTTAAATCAATAAATATTCAAAACTACTGAAGTGCATTAATTTTATATCATTATAAAGGAAATTGAAAGACCTTTAAAATAAGGTATCACTCGACCCCCCTTTCCATTTGAGATTTTGGGGGTGGTGTCACCCCCGCTTAGGGGGCTGCACGTCCTAACGTGATTTTTTGCCAGACTTGTGTCCCGCTCGTAAACAAAATCGACGGGTCTGATCGTTTTAAAAAAAAACTGAGCTGCCAGTAAATGCGTCTGTTTCGTTTTCAATGCGCCACCCTGTACAGGTAAAGATGATAAAAACGCAATATTGTTTAGATCAGAAACATCTTATATGTAGTAATTCGTGAATTTTGTTTATTCTACAGGCCTTGAGAGAATTTCTTGGGAATGAAGACTTGAGTGGAAGACCTAACAGCAAGCCTGACACATATCGATCATGGGGGAAAAGATTAGGTAACTACCCATAGTTTATGTTTAAACAAGTCAACAATTGATGAAATGAGAGAAAAATACACACATATAGTATATGTATATATACTCAGATATTATCCAAAGCGACTTGATTATTATGATATAAAAATGATTTATCATCATGGTATAAATAATGCACTGGAACCTTTAAAAGCAAATATCCCGAAAACTATTAGCTTCAGACATTTCTAATAGGTAAACCTTGTTTGTTGTGGAAATAAGAGGAAGTAAGATTTCTCGATCAGTTGTTGTATACATTGTAGCACAAAAGAGTTATGATAAGTTATTTACCGAAATAGTGCGTCAAGTGGCGCCCTCTAGAAGTTTGGCAAAAAAAAATTGCGGATTCTTGTTTTTCATACTAGAAATCCTTCCTGTACCGAGTTTTATGCTAAAATCTGAAATACTTCTCAAGCAATAAGTAAAAATTGAAAATAAAATTGTAACTTTGACCCTGTATCTCGCAAACTATCAATTTTTGGACTAAGGTATGTTTTGGTCAATTCACATGTTTTGGCCTGTAGTATCTCTAGTTTCAAGATTTCTCAACCTTTCGTAGACACTCTGTATAGTTTGGTATGCAGTGGTCGATGGTTGATCGCTTTTTGAAACAATTTGGCTCATCTCACTTTGTTTCAGGAATCATAATGACAGATGGAGAATTCTGGTTCGAACAGCGTCGCTTCCTAGTGCGCCACCTCCGCGAGATTGGCTTCGGCACCAACGATATGTCCACGCTGCTGGAAGATGAGTCCCAGGAGCTGGTCAAATACCTTCTGAAGGAGACCAATGGCGGGGAAGGTACCCTCGGCATGCCCTCGTTGTTCAGCATTCCTATTTTAAACGCCCTGTGGAGAATGCTTGTGGGTGTAAGATATACCCCTGATGATCCAAAACTGGCGAAGTTACATGGAATTCTGGCGGATATGTTCAAACATTTGTCCTTAGTCGGAAGGCCGTTTGTGGCTTTTCCGATTTTGCGGTACTTGGCACCAGAAGCATCAGGTAAATGACTGCAATGCGCATCGGTCCTGTCCAGTTCCCGTTTCCTCAGGGTACCAGCATACACAATTTTACTTCTCACTTCACACGAGCTCAATCGAATTAAATGGCAAGACCATACCTCAAGATTTAATTGCATACGCGGTCGTTTCATACTTTTTAGCAATAATCTATACGGTATAGGTCTAGCCGTATGGACAAAAGACAAACGGCGGGCAATTAGGTTAACCAACTAGAATCTTGTTAATATTTGGTAAATTTTAGGAATTATATACTTGAATGATATCCTCAAAAGTTGAATTGTCTTGAGAATTGAATACTTTGTTAAAATTTGATAACTACGCACCAAATTAGAGCGCTGTTAGACCTTTGACCAAGAAGTTAAGTTTGGACAAAAGACAAACGGCGGGCAATTAGGTTAACCAACTAGAATCTTGTTAATATTTGGTAAATTTTAGGAATTATATACTTGAATGATATCCTCAAAAGTTGAATTGTCTTGAGAATTGAATACTTTGTCAATATTTGATAACTACGCACCAAATTAGAGCCCTGTTAGACCTTTGACCAGGAAGTTAAGTTTGTTGGTTCAGAACTACAAAAATGCACCTGTAAGAAGTACCTAAAAAATGCCTGACCTCGAGGACAAATCCAGAGAATATAGCTCAGTTAGGTTGTTTTTTGGACATATCGGTAAATAAATCATTTTGTAAGTGACCAAGAAAAATTTCTTCTAAGCTTGCAAATACAGGTTGATGGACTTGTCTTGGCCAAAAATTAAACGCCATACACAGGGCCGCAGTCTTTTATGTGAATTTTTTTCCTCGAGGGCATCATTAAAAAGTTTATGTGTTTTTTTCCTAGAGTGCATTGTTTTCGTAAAAATAAAACAAATCAGACAGTCAAAGGTTTAATTCAATAAATGTTCAAAAAGACCACCATTCTTACGTATACAGATCTTTTTAATGCAGAGAAACGTATTTCTGCAAAATTTGTTGTGGCGTGAATTTGATTTTTTATTTTTATGGAAACAGTGCACTCTGAGAAAAAACACAGGAGTAATTATTTGTAGTACAATAGAGGCTAAATTGGAAAAATTCCGCGTCTCGGAAAAAACAGTGGCGTATTATTTTTATTTGGAAAGATAATGAAAGTAATCCCTTGTATCGTCGCCATTGATTCACGATAATTTTAAGCCAAGACTTTTGAATCTAGACAATACTTAGTTAAATCTACAAACCAAATTCTAGGTTATCCCTGTTGACGGTTTTGAGAATATTGAAACAAATTGTTTTTTATTTTTAAACTTGAACACCCCGTATCCTTTTAATGAAGCCCTGGAGAAAAAAACGTTACATCCTTGTGTATGATGTTTCATTTTTGGTCACGACTTATGAATCACGCTGTATACTTGTAAAATGTTCTAGGTGGCATAACCAACAATATAAAGCGCGAAGTGCCATGGCTATTATACTAAGTGACATGTAAATCCGAACACCCAGTTTAAATGGTTTTATTTTAATAAAATTTTGTATTGTACTTAACGAAGCATAATAAGTAAATGATATAAATTTCAAAATGATTGCACTGCTTTAAAGCCCTTTGACCTTTAATAATATGTGGATGCACCCTGATGTGCTACGCATTCTCCAACGCGCCTAGGCATGCTTCTGATCAGGTGGTCAATGTCCTCCTGTGGTATCTTATTCCAGGCAACCACCAACTCCTCTCGAAGTGCTTCTAGAGTCTGAGGAGGACGTTGCAAATTGAGCAATCTCCTACCCATCATATCCCACACGTGCTCAATTGGAGATAAGTCGGGAGATTTTGGTGGCCATGGTAACAATGTGACATGATTATGTTGAAAGAAGTCTATTGTGACTCGTGCAACATGTGATCGGGCATTATCTTGTTGGAAAGTTGGATCTGCCAGGGTGTCAAGATAGGGTAAAAGATGGGGTTCTAGAACTTCGTGGATATAATGCTGCGCGTTCATGTTACCTCTGCTGAAGATTAAAGGTGTCCTGGAACCATAAGCTATAGCACCCCAAACCATAACTCCAACAGTGTGATGAACATGTCTTTCAACAAAAAACTGTGGATTCCTCCTTTCACCACGTCGCCTTCTAAACCTGGCACGACCATCGTGCATGCCTAAACAAAATCGAGACTCGTCACTAAAGACAATACTGTTCCATTCCTGATCCCAGAGTGACCGTTGTCTGCACCACTCAAGGCGATTACGTCGGTTTTCTCGAGTTAAAGGGAGGACCCAGTGTGGCCGGTATGAAAACAAGCCAAAACTTCTCATTCGTCGGTAAATACTTCGCATGCCAATAGGTCTTCCGTGTTCTGCAAACCATTCATTTGCAATGGACCTGGTAGTGGAGAAACGGTCCCTTAAGGCCAATAATCTTAGGCGGCGATCTTCACGGTCTGTTGTTCTACGGCGGCGTTCAGTGCCCCTTGCTCTTTGCGTACGGCCTTCTCGAAGCCATGCCTGACAACACATAACCACAGTGTCTACACTTCTTTGCACTCTAACTGCAATTGCCCGAAAAGAAAGTCCAGCTTTCCGAAGTCCCACTATACGGCCCCTATCAAACTCACTAAGTTGACGAAATCGTACAGGTCTCCGTACTCTAGGCATCGTAACCGATCGTAAAGGATGTCAAGGACCATAATCCGCCAACGTTGATTCTTTACTGCGGCTGAAATATTCATTTTTAGAGCATTAGTGAATTAAAAAAAAGCAGTATAAAAACGGAATGTCCAACTGATAAGGCTGAAAATTTTTTCACTTGTTATTTACAGTAAGATAAATACATTCACCAACTTTTATTAAAATAAAACCATTTAAACTGGGTGTTTGGATTTATATGTCACTTAGTATATATTGTACTGAAAAAATCCGAACATAGTGCACGCTTGTCAATCTCCATAGCGCCGCCGGTAAAAAATTTGCTAATAAATAGAGCCTTGAAAAACGACGAAGATTTTGAAGAAAATTGTTACTATTGAAACTATCGCAGAAATCACTCTTCCAAACCTGAAGAAAAAAAAAACAAGATCTGCCGGCAATGATTCCGTATTTCAAGGAAGAAGATAGACAATTTTATGAAGATCTATTGAATACTAATATTCATTAGGAGCTAAATTTTTTACCACAATATTTATATTTTTGTAATAGCACTTAGCACATAATATTTATATTTTCGTAATAGCATTCTATGATTTTGTAACTGTTATAATTTGTTTCTGCTATTTTTTACAAAAAGCTCAGGAAATATTAAGTACACATTAAAATACTTACTTGAATAAACCTATGTTTAAAATTTTTGAATTTTTTTAATACACTTCATACAGGGTTTGTCCGGAAAGTAATAGGACTGAGTCGATTTAAAAAAATTTATTGAGTCAATCGTTACAATTCTTTAAAAACTTTCGAAATAGGCTCATTCTGCATCGATGCAGCGCTGCCAGCGCGATTTCCAAGCATTGAAGGTGTCACGGAAGGCATTCTCCGGAATAGCCGTGAGAGCCGCGGTGCATGCTGCTTGGATCCCCGCTGTCGTCTCAAAATGCTTGCCTTTCATCGGCCTTTTCAGGAGAGGAAACAAAAGAAAAGCCCGGGGGGGCACATCTGGGCTGTAGGACGGCTGCGTATGTTCACTGAATAACTCTATTGTACACCCTAAGGTTACAAGGATTCCCTTAGTGACATCCACCCCCTTACTGATCTTGGATGACTGTGTAACGTCATTACAACTTAGAAATGTTTGGTAAGACCACACCCGCTTGTCTGCTGTATTTCGATTAATTTTAAAAAGCCCATGTTTACATGAACTTTTTTGATCGACTTCCCGTCTTAGAAATATTGATACCTTTTTCTGAATCACCCTGTATGCACATAAATATTCCATTGACCTGTCGTACTATTGAGTGAAATGACGTCATCTGCGACTGACTGGTACACGCAAAACACTTTAGTGGCTCAAAATCTGTCTATAGTCAACGCCAAACAAAGTGGCGTGCACGTCATCACGATAAAAATTCCCCGACCTAATGCCTAGGTTTCTATCACAAACAATTGCTCTATTGCAGTTTCATATTAATGTGATATATAAATTGTAAAATGGTCATTACTCTCTTATTATGGTTAATAGTCATATAAACATTGTTATTAAAATATCACATAAGTTGCTTTCTGATAAATTTAGACGCATTATGCGAAATAAAATGTTTTGCAAACGCTCCAATCACTTATCGACATGTAAACGCACTAAACCGATTTCGCAGCGTTGACACATTGTCACCTTGAAACTTATTTAAACTGGGAACTGACATTTGTATTAATTTTGACACTGAATCAATTTGTGGCATTTCAAATCTTTATAAATCCTTTGGCCCCGCATACTGTAAATCAACAACTGTTTGTTTCAAAACAAAATTATTCATTTTACGAGTAGATAAAGGCAATTTTGGTATATAAAGATGCCCAAACAGTTAAATAGTCAGTGTAAGGAACTCGTGGCCTCGTTAATGCACTACTTTGAGCAAGAAAGGGACAACAACGGGCCTTTGTTGCCTTTAAATGCTGTTCAAGAGGTAGGTTACTAATAATTATATGTAATGTATATTAATAATAGTGAAATTTTATTTCATTTTTTGTAGCGTGTTTCTGCTGCTTTAAAAATTAGTTTAAGGACAGTTAGTCGTATTTCCGAGGGTGTGAAAAGTGATGCAAATTTAGAATCGCCCAAGAAAAAGCGGAGTTATATTAAACGTGTAACCAACACAGCGACATTGGATACAAGTACCATTCGAGAAGTGATCTATAATATGTATCACAAAAGTAAGATCTTATTATAATAACTTATCAGAAATTTGCATTAATTTGTTAACTAAATTATAATGTCATATTACACATGGTTTCAGAAGAACAAGTTACGATACAAACTTTATGGTCTCGATTAAGAGATAGGGCATTATTTGATGGTAGTGCCACGTCTTTAAGGCGGTTGCTTAGAGATCTTGGATTTAAGTGGCTTAAGGACAATCCGCGACGAGGGCTCATGGAACTACCAAGTATAGCTTTGAAAAGGGTGGAATTTCTAAGGCAATACAATCAAGCCAAGGTTGAGGCCTTATACCAGTTTGTCTTCCTCGATGAAACTTGGATATTTCAAAATGGGACCATAGGTCGCTCTTGGCAAAATGGAAACCAAAAAAGCGTGAAAGCTATTAAAACAGATGGTAAAAGGTATGTACTTTTTCACAATTTGCACTATAAAATTTAAAACTAATATATTTTAGATACATTATATTACATGCTGGAAATGAAAATGGGTTTATTGAGGGTAGTGAAGCGATATTTTCTTCGAAAACAAAATTGAGCGATTACCATGGAGAGATGAACCAGGACAATTTTTTTAAATGGTTTCAACATCAGTTAAGAGAAAATTTGGAGAGTCCATCTATGATTATACTGGATAACGCCCCTTATCACAGCATGATATTGAACAAAGTGCCCAACAATGCATGGACAAAAAAAATATCCAAGACTGGTTGACAAATCAAAACATACCATTTTTAAACACAATGTTTAAAACAGAGCTATTGAGTATTGTTGCTCGGTACATAATGCTTCTTAATTATATATATTTTGGTCGACAGTTTATATTTCTTTTGTTTATTCCTATTCTTAAAATAACTGCTTTTTTAGAAACAAACCACCTAAAATATACGTGATTGATGAATTGGCGGAACAACATGGGCACAAAGTTCTTCGTCTGCCTCCTTACCATTGTATATTTAACCCTATTGAGTTAATTTGGGGCATAGCAAAAGGTTACTATAACAGACATATTGGTAGAGATGGTAACAGTGAAAAAGACTGTTTGGATATGTGGAACGAGGCTCTACAAACGGTTACCCCAGACATGTGGAAAAATAGTGTTCGACATACTGAGCAAGAAATTTTTAAATGGTATGAAAGAGAACGAATTTTTGATCGACCAGACATCGAACCTTTAATAGTCAACTTTGAGAGTGATGAAGATTCAGATTCAGACAGCGCTGAAGAAAGAAACTCCGACTAACTTTATTGTACAGAAAAAGCTCACACCAGTAGCTTACCTAATTTTAGAATGCATTTTTCTGTATGAATTCTGTAAAATATGCATAAAATGCATAAAATTTGGAGGACCCCATTTGGATTTTTATTCAGTACCTTTAAGCTATCAATTAAATATGGTAGTTTCATAGTGTCATCTGATCAATAATTGTCATACTTAATGATTATGCAAGTACAGATCTATAATTTTATTATACTATTATTTTTGTTCTCATTTGAGGTTAATATTGCTTATAAACCTAGATATGTAAATAATAAATTTTATTATTTTACAAAAAGTTTGGCAACAATGTAAATTTTTCAACACACCCACCTTGATGACGTGCACGCCACTTTGTTTGGCGTTGACTACATTTCTGTCAACCTTGACTGAAAATACTTTCAACTGGCTTACAGGATACAACATCTACATGGAAGTCTACAGACGCCTCATTGACTTCATATACGAAGCCATAGATGACCATAAACGGATGCATGACCCAGACTGCCCGCGCGACGTTATGGATTTCTACTTATCCATGATCAACCGCAACTCCAAACTTCAGAATTCCACCTTTTCTGAGCAACAGTTGGTCATTATTTGCATTGATATGTTCATCGCTGGTTCGGAGACCACTAGTAATACTTTGGGTTTCTGTTTCCTGTATTTGGTGTTGTATCCGGAGGTTCAAAGGAAGGCCCAAGAGGAGATCGATAGAGCTTTGGGAAGAGAACGGGCACCTATGCTCAGCGACAGACAAAGGTAAGGATATAACATATTACTGCTCCGAAAAGACCAGCAAAAAGACAGACGTCTCACATATACATAACATCCTCAACCTAACTATCCGTCATTTGTTTGTCTGGGCGGTCCGTAGGACCTTTGCCCATTAGTCACTGTCTGCCCAGAAACCAGACAAAGTCAAGGAAAAAGACAAAGGGAACGAGAAGAAAAAAAGGAGAAGAGCAAAGAAAAACAGATATGCTTAGTTTAAGAGGAAACACCTAGGCTTTTTGACTTCGTACACGGATTAATTTTGAGGTTAACTAAACAAATTTTTTGATTCGGTTTTGTTAGAGTGTAATCTTGAGTTTACTAAAGATTCACGCTAACTTTTGATTACAGTGCGAGCCGTGTCCTTGAATGTTTACGATCTTGCTCCACTGTGTAATCCACTGAGTCACGCAACAGAGGGTTGTTGTGCGATTCCGCTTGACTACAACGTCGCTGCGCCTGAAGCTTGACATAATCCCTCAAGTAAGGAATGTCAAGATGTCTGTGTAGTGTCTCGTTTAAGACATACAATGGCGCGTTGCAAATTGTCCGCTTTGCAGTACTTAAAGACTTTGCATGTGTGTCTTGGCAAGAAAACACCAAGCCGCACATGCATAAATAATGGCTGGTCTAATAATCATTTTATGTAGTCGAACTTTGTTTATCAAACTCAATTTGGAGGATCTACATAACAAAGGATATAGTTGCCGAAACGCAATTTGGAATTTTGTTTTTATGGATGCTGTATGTGTATGCCAGGTCATGCCTTTATCAAGGGTGACACCGAGGTACTTCGCAGAATTTGTCCATGGTCCACGATTTCCGTCTACAGAAACCTCTGCTTTGGTACAATAAATAGCCTGCGTTTTCGAATGATTAATTTTTATCAGCCACCGTTCCGCCCACTCTATAACTTCGTCCATCGCATTCTGCAACCCATCGTGAACCAGATCACCAGTACACGACTGGGCCACAAGTGCAGTGTACGTCAGCATAGAGGTAGACTTCACAGTTGCTTGGGGAAGGGACATCATGGATGAAAAGCGAATAAATAATTGGTCCTAGGACCGAACCCTGAGGAACAATCCTCAACCTGTACAAGGCCTAGAGAACACCTAGCCTCGAATACTGCTCACACCTTTATCCATGCTCGATGTTGTTCAGAGATCAGTCCTACTGTTCGATGACTCTTTTCTAGCGGATATTCTCGGGATCTTTTCTCTTCTACCGCTATGTCAACTGGCTTCACTGCTCTCTCCTTCTTGATGCTGCCACGCCTTCAGCCTCGTATAAAAACTGTATCGAACTTCGCACGTCCAGAACGGGTCAGTACGACCGCTCTTTTGTCCCTAGGGTTTCGAGATTATGGAGCAATCTGCCTGAGGAGGCTTTTCCCAGTGCCACTACCCTTAAGCGATTTAAAAATCCGATTAGCAAAGTGTCTTTAAGCTCCTCATAGCAGTCGAGGTGCTCCAGTACTTAGACTTTTGCCTGTGCGGCTGCTGCGGTGTGAAAAAAGATACTCTATTTTGGACTAAGACTCAGCAACGGAAGACTGGAAAAAGATTCGGTGAGAAACATATTTACGGCAGGCCTCGACTTCATCTCCAGGACGAAATACATAATCTTTTGTGTGCAAACATAATCCTTCATGAAATGATAACAGTGTTGCATGAAGGATGCAGAGTCAACCTTTTTTGCAGGCTTCCATACATTGAGTGCATCGTATGGGAATCGTTGAGGATGTTCGTTGGCCGAGCATTTACACTTCCACACAGAGCAATCAGAGACACAAGATTGTGCGGGTATTTTCTACCAAAGGTAAGATAATTTTATTTCAATTTAATTTTACACTTTGACCCGCAATGGATTGTGCATTTACAGGTTTCCTCGTTTTTATTAATTTGCAAGCACCAGATGTATAGCTTTTCCTTATACGACCTCCTCACTCTGTACCTATATAAGACCTAGCCTCCAGTACTGCTCACATGTTTGAGGTGCTGTCCGACTGATCGATGTCTTTTCTTTAACGGACAGCCTCGGAACCCTTTCGCACCGACGAGACGTCAGCGATCTAGCTCTCTTCTACAGCTACGCCAACGTAATTAGCTTCTCTTTGTCTGCCAAACAGACACGCCTGACTTCAGCCTCTTTTCCTAACCGTGTCGAACTTTGTACCTAGGATATCGAGACTGAGGAACAATCTACCCGAGGAGGCTTTTCCCAGGTCTACTAACATTAAGCAGTTTAAAAATTAGACTTACCAAGTCCCGTTAGGCTCCTCATAGCATCCGCGTTGCCCCGGTGGATATTTAGACTTTTGAGCAAGAAATCCTAAGTTATCCATATCAAAATACAACTCTCTTAATATACATACCCCTTATTATCAGACAGCTCCAACGTTTTCTGCCTACCAGTATAATACTGAGAAAAAAATTTAGTTACACCAATTAAAATTTTACTTAGGCATATTAAAAAGTTTAATCAACTATGTGACAGCTAACAAGTTTTATTAGTTTAACTAAGCTTTGATTTATAAAACGACTAGTTTAAATAAACCAAAGCGCAAATGCTTAATTATATTTATTAAACCGTTTACCTACATTGATTACACCAATTTATTTAAAATTAATAAACTGTTAAAATGAGCTTACCTGCTGCTAGTAACACAATTTAATCATATTTCTGAAATTTGCTTAATTAAGTTATTTCAAAGTGTTTGCCTAATTTTAATGAACTGTTTTATTTAGAATCAATAGAATATTTCGACAATATTTCGAATTTGAAAAACAAATTGCGTTTTACTGAATGTTGTATGATATAACTGTGCTCGAAAAATTTGGAAAACGTGATGTTCACGTTTTTGAATCAGAACTTCCGAAACTTCCTAAGGAAACTCAATATTTTTTAATTTCATTGATAGTGAACTTATTATACTAAGTGACATAAATCCGAACACCCAGTTTAAATGGTTTTATTTTAATAAAATCTTGTATAAGTACTTAATAAAGCATAATAAGTATATGATAAAAATTTCAAAATGATTGCACTGCTTTAAAGCCCTTTGACCTTTAATAATGTGTGGATGCACCCTGATGTGCTACGCATTCTCTAACGCGCCTAGGCATGGTTCTAATCAGGTGGTCAATGTCCTCCTGTGGTATCTCATTCCAGGCAACCACCAACTCCTCTCGAAGTGCTTCTAGAGTCTGAGGAGGACGTTGCAAATTGAGCAATCTCCTACCCATCATATCCCACACGTGCTCAATTGGGGATAAGTCGGGAGATCTTGGTGGCCATGGTAACAATGTGACATCATTATGTTGAAAGAAGTCTATTGTGAATCTTGCAACATGTGGTCGGGCATTATCTTTTTGGAAAGCTGGATCTGCCAGGGTGTCAAGATAGGGCAAAAGATGGGGTTCTAGAACTTCGTGGATATAACGCTGCGCGTTCATGTTACCTCTGATGAAGATTAAAGGTGACCTGGAACCATAAGCTATAGCACCCCAAACCAACCAACAGTGTGATGAACATGTCTTTCAACAAAAAACTGTGGATTCCTCCTTTCACCACGTCGCCTTCTAACCCTGGCACGACCATCGTGCATGCCTAAACAAAATCGAGACTCGTCACTAAAGACAATACTGTTCCATTCCTGATCCCAAAGTGACCGTTGTCTGCACCACTCAAGGCGATTACGTCGGTGTTCTCGAGTTAAATGGAGGACCCAGTGTGGCCGGTACGAAAACAAGCCAAAACTCCTCATTCGTCGGTAAACACTTCGCATGCCAATAGGTCTTCCGTGTTCTGCAAACCATTCATTTGCAATGGACCTGGTAGTGGAGAAACGGTCCCTTAAGGCCAATAATCTTAGGCGGCGATCTTCACGGTCTGTTGTTCTACGGCGGCGTCCAGTGCCCCTTGCTCTTTGCGTACGGCCTTCTCGAAGCCATGCCTGACAACACCTAACCACAGTCTCTACACTTCTTTGCACTCTAACTGCGATTGCCCGAAAAGAAAGTCCAGCTTCCCGAAGTCCCTCTATACGGCCCCTATCAAACTCACTAAGTTACGAAATCGTACAGGTCTTCGTACTCTAGGCATCGTAACCGATCGTAAAGGATGTCAAGAACCAAAATCCGCCAACGTTGATTCTTTTTTAGAGCGTTAGTGAATTAAAAAAAAACAGTATAAAAACTGGAATGTCCAACTGATAAGGCTGAAAATTTTTTCACTTGTTATTTACAGTAAGATAAATACATTCACCAACTTTTATTAAAATAAAACCATTTAAACTGGGTGTTCGGATTTATATGTCACTTAGTATATATAAGGGATTAAGTTTGTCTATTTGCCCAGAAATAATATAATATACCACTATTCCGAGTCCTGCCGAGTTCTCGATTCAAATAAGCAGTTCACTGTTTTTATCAAAATGTTTAATTGTTTTAATTGCACCTTTTCTATATACATTAGATAACCTAAATTAATGAAACAGTTTAGTAAAACTAATATGTTCAATTTAATTGGTTCCAGAAAATTCAGTTAAATTAAACCGAATAGCTTAATTAAAATATTAAAAAAAATCATTACGGGTAATGGAAACTTTCCAGAACAACAATTTATTTTTTTTCTCAGTGGGTGAATTAGTTAATCGATGCTTGCAGTCTATTCTTTAATCGTAACAAGCAGTAGGCGTTGACAAGTTTAACATTTTTCATTGGATCATCGTAGCTCATGTCTCCATTTTGTCTATTTCAGAATGTCAAAGTTGTCGGCTGCCTCTACGACAGCTGTCTGAGCGAAGATTGTGACATGGAAGACCCATTGGCCTTCAAACCAGAACGGTACCTTAAAAACGGACAGGTCGTGATTCCAGAAAATATCATACCGTTTGGATTGGGTAAACGTAGGTGTATAGGGGAAGCACTGGCAAGAGGCAACCTTTTCCTCTTCATCGCAGCTCTTCTGCAGAGGTTCAACTTCAGCCAAATGCCAAACGAAAGTCCTCCGTCCACGGACTGGGAAGACGGGTTCACGCCTAGACCGAAGGATTTCCAAGTGGTTGTGAGCGAAAGATAATAATAATGATAAGTAATAATGTTTATTTGCAGCATTCAGTTAGGTAAAAATAATGGCAAAACACATTTAAATGAGATATGTTACAAAAAAGGGCTGAAGGCATTTAAAAATGATACAAGTTCAGCCCTGTATCTATTACACATTTATATATAAAAAAAGAAGGATCTTCATTAGAAAGCCCCGAAAAATAAATGTGAGTTATAGTAGAACAAAAATTTTTTTCCATTAGTTTGGCCGCTTGTGCCTCATTAACATTTATGTGCAGTGAAATGTTTGTCAAAAATAAATTTCTTATGTTTGATTTTAAACTGGTTTGGATGCGGAATTTTCAAGTCATTGGGAATTTGATTACAAAGCCGATAAAAATGTTGTATGAGAAAGATCTGCAAAAATGAGGAGGAGGAGGTATATTACCTTCCTGAGCTGCCAGTAAATGCGTCTGTTTCGTTTTCGATGTGCCACCCTGTATAAAAACCCTGTACTAACCTCTATAAATTCACTACATATGTATTTCAAAATTTGTTTATTCGCATCAAAGAATGTTCAACCCCTAATAGATTTCAGAAAGAGCTACTCAGACTGATTAATACTTGACTGACAAACTCTTGAACAGGCCTGGTCCTCCAAATCTTGCAAATAAGTTTATGCATCGCTCCGCTCCAGAATCGTTCATTTATTTAGAATGCGATTCGTACGTACAATTGTTTGCCAAATTAATTCAGAACGTACAATATTAGTAAGTTCAAATACAAACTTAAACTCCAACTCTTTGATTCCCAGTTGAGCTGGAATTTTGTTAGGCCACCTGGTTCCGGAGCTTACCGCTTAAAAAGTCATACCTCATTCCTGCGTTACAATGTTACTACGTCCTTTTTAATTGTCTGCTTTTCTTTCTAATTACCCAGTATAATATCTAAATGATGACTGTTACATTTATTCCTTACTTTGTCATGTTGTCTTGTACTTAATTATATAAATTATATTGTGCGATGTCTTATTGTATTTAATTTTTTTTAGAGCAATTGTTTTTTTTATGGTGGTTCGTCGTCCTAATGGAAATTTTGTTTATTTGAAAAACATTTAATTTTTTTCAATAAAGTGGGTTATTATTATTACTTTGTTCGTTTTCGTCTAGTGTACATTTTGCTGATTCTTTTCTTGTAAATTGTATTAATCTTGGGTACCTAATCGCCTTGGCTTTTATTTTATTTCTGTGAATACTATTGTTTGTGAATATTAACGTTATCCTATTTCTAACTAAATAAAATTATTCCTCTATGCCCTTTCTCCTATGCTACCAAGAGCTAGTCATCAATTCCCATGTAGAGTAGATGGAGATAAGTGCTTCAAGCGCGGGTAGATTACCAAAAAAAAATATTATATAATTATTTTCTGGGACTCAGCTGTTGCTCTGGGCACTCAGATTTACAGAAGATGGTTTTGACAAGAATATTGTTCGGATCTTAACTGTACGTAGCGCTTTTTTCTTGCAACTTTTGGGCCAGCCGTTAGCGAATAAAGTGTCCATGGAGCTCCAAGTATACTGCCAAGTAATGCAGAGGATATTTATAATTGTCTTAAATAGTTTTGGACAATATTTCTTGACAGTGGCATTAGATTGGATGTAGTTTATAAAATTGCGTAACATAAGGAAGTCGGACCACAGTGATCGAGAAAGTGCAGATCTCAGTGGGAAAGTGAAAGATCGCACTTTGCTAAAATTCTGCATCAGTATCAGCGCACCATGCGCGGTACATCTACCTAGTAGGCATACCGGTTAGTTCTGGTGTGTGAACTTAGACAAAAGAAGAAGACATAGTAAGGTAAGTTGGAATTTTTATATCGAACTAACTACCGTCTCAACCAAAGGTTCTAGAGAAAGAAATTTAAAGCATCGAACCATACATTTTTTTTTGTTAGCAAGGGTTCTATTGACATAAAGTTCCATTCTAAGCCCCCTGCTTTAAAATGTTTGTCTGAAGAGAAGTAAAATGATTCCTTGCACATATCTATATGCTGTCATAGGTGTTACTAGAGGCAAATCTGTAAGTTGCTATCAGAATTCTGCACATTGGAGCAGCCGCGCATCGAGCCTGTTATACAGACTCGTCAGACATTAGGTTATGTTCACAGCAGGCAGTTCAATGGTGGGATTAACAAGGTATCTTTAAGCTTCTTATAGTATAATAATATAATAATCAATATATACTAAGTGACATATAAATCCGAACACCCGGTTTAAATGGTTTTATTTTAATAAAATTTTGTATAAGTACTTAATGAACCATAATAAGTAAATGATAAAAATTTCAAAATGATTGCACTGCTTTAAAGCCCTTTGACCTTTAATAATGTGTGGATGCACCCTGATGTGCTACGCATTCTCCAACGCGCCTAGGTATGCTTCTGATCAGGTGGTCAATGTCCTCCTGTGGTATCTCATTCCAGGCAACCACCAACTCCTCTCGAAGTGCTTCTAGAGTCTGAGGAGGACGTTGCAAATTGAGCAATCTCCTACCCATCATACCTCACACGTGCTCAATTGGGGATAAATCGGGAGATCTTGGTGGCCATGGTAACAATGTGACATCATTATGTTGAAAGAAGTCTATTGTGACTCTTGCAATATGTGGTCGGGCATTATCTTGTTGGAAAGTTGGATCTGCCAGGGTGTCAAGATAGGGTAAAAGATGGGGTTGTAGGACTTTGTGGATATAACGCTGCGCGTTCATGTTACCTCTGATGAAGATTAAAGGTGACCTGGAACCATAAGCTATAGCACCCCAAACCATAACTCCAACAGTGTGATGAACATGTCTTTCAACAAAAAACTGTGGATTCCTCCTTTCACCACGTCGCCTTCTAACCCTGACACGGCCATCGTGCATGCCTAAACAAAATCGAGACTCGTCACTAAAGACAATACTGTTTCATTCCTGATCCCAGAGTGACCGTTGTCTGCACCACTCAAGGCGATTACGTCGGTGTTCCCGAGTTAAAGGGAGGACCCAGTGTGGCCGGTATGAAAATAAGCCAAAACTTCTCATTCGTCGGTAAACACTTCGCATGCCAATAGGTCTTCCGTTTTCTGCAAACCATTCATTTGCAATGGACCTGGTAGTGGAGAAACGGTCCCTTAAGGCCAATAATGTTAGGCGGCGATGTTCACGGTCTGTTGTTCTACGGCGGCGTCCAGTGCCCCTTGCTCTTTGCGTACGGCTTTCTCGAAGCCATGCCTCACAACACCTAACCACAGTGTCTACACTTCTTTGCACTCTGCAATTGCCCGAAAAGAATGTCCAGCTTCCCGAAGTCCCACTATACGGCCCCTATCAAACTCACTAAGTTGACGAAATCGTACAGGTCTCCGTACTCTAGGCATCGTAGCCGATGGTAAAGGATATCAAGAACCAAAATCCGCCAACGTTGATTCTTTACTGCGGCTGAAATATTCATTTTTAGAGCGTTAGTGAATTAAAAAAAGCAGTACAAAAACCGGAATGTCCAACTGATAAGGCTGAAAATTTTTTCACTTGTTATTTACAGTAAGATAAATACATTCACCAACTTTTATTAAAATAAAACCATTTAAACTGGGTGTTCGGATTTATATGTCACTTAGTATATAAAGAATACAGATATGACAAATCTAAATTCGGACTTCAAAATATTTTTTCAATATGCCTTAAGTCCCTCATGAAGTTGACGCTGTGGAAAAATTTGAGAGATAATGGTCGATTTTGGCGATAAAAACGAGCTTAGCCATCTGAAATGGGTGCAAGATTGTACGAGTACCTCTAATTGATACACAAAAATATTGTACAGAGAAGACAAATACCTCATACCATGGTTGCCACAACCGATGGCATGTCCTGTATTTTGGTGACATTGAAAAGGTCTCATCGAAAACTGACTCTAACCTGAATATTAAAATACCCTCACAGATACTTTTTCAGTTAGTACTGCCGTCAGATCCACCGAAGCTAAGAAAGTGAAACAGCTTGATCGTGATCTAGGAGTGACCTTGAGATTATTCGAAAAATGTACTCAATGCTCTGAAAAATACGCAGTGAATGACCGCGACTGATTTCAAGGTGAAATCATGAAGTAACTGATCACTAACCTCAGACGCGTACGATAACTAGATTCTGTTATGTAATCTACGCAACGAGCTTTCACTTTATCGGAAGTGAATCATTGAACCAAATACGCCATAAAGTTGCAGTATGAAAGTTTTAAGAGAATGTTTAGCTACAAAATCAGTTTTTAATGCAAATCGCATACAAGACAAATGTCTACATTTTTAGGCAACGATCAAGAGCTCAAATATCAACAGCAACAACAAATTATAAGGGTTGGCGACATTTTGACAATGCTCGTTTTCCACCGATTTTTAAAAGCTACAAATCTCTTGGTTCTGCATTGCAGTAGCCTTGACGGAATTTTAAAAATTCTAAGCAGTACTTTTCTGGGTTTACTGTAAGCAAGAGCTATTGAACAGTTTATAGACCAAGGAAAACGGATGTTTATAATCTAAAATGATAAATTACCTCGTTTTCAAAATTCTTTCCAATCACAATTAGCGAGGAACTAATAATAGGCGGATGAGCATTGCAACGAAAAGGTGCTGTTTTGTTGCTTCCTCATAATGATTTTCAAAAAGGTTTAGCATGAAGGTTAGTACCTAGGTCTAGGCGCCATCCTCGGGAAATTTTTCAAATGGTACGGCGATCATTTTGCAGCTCCTTGTTAGTACAATGTGACAACTTATATATAGTCAACGCCAAACAAAGTGGCGTGCACGTCATCAAGGTGGGTGTGTTGAAAAATTTACATTGTTGCCAAACTTTTTGTAAAATAATAAAATTTATTATTTACATATCTAGGTTTATAAGCAATATTAACCTCAAATGAGAACAAAAATAATAGTATAACAAAATTATAGATCTGTACTTGCATAATCATTAAGTATGACAATTATTGATCAGATGACACTATGAAACTACCATATTTAATTGATAGCTTAAAGGTACTGAATAAAAATCCAAATGGGGTCCTCCAAATTTTATGCATGGTATTTATTTTACAGAATTCATACAGAAAAATGCATTCTAAAATTAGGTAAGCTACTGGTGTAAGCTTTTTCTGTACAATAAAGTTAGTCGGAGTTTCTTTCTTCAGCGCTGTCTGAATCTGAATCTTCATCACTCTCAAAGTTGATTATTAAAGGTTCGATGTCTGGTCGATCAAAAATTCGTTCTCTTTCATACCAATTAAAAATTTCTTGCTCAGTATGTCGAACACTATTTTTCCACATGTCTGGGGTAACCGTTTGTAGAGCCTCGTTCC